CACCCTGGATCATATAAAAGCAGTACTCATGGTAAGTAATCAGCTTTCAATAGTGTTGGTTCAACATATAAAAGTTTGTCTTTAGACAATGTTTAAATGAGTAACCGTACATAACTTTCAAAATAAGTAACTTACGTGTTTTTTGTGCTACTTGATAGAATATATTTGTTGGTGGAACGGACACGAGTGCAGCAACGATAATTTGGGCAATGACAGGCCTGATAAAGACTCCAAACGCGATGAAGAAAGTACAGGAAGAAATCAGAGATCAGGTTGGAAATAAAGGTCGAGTGGACGAAGATGATTTGGGGAAACTTCCCTATCTAAAGGCAGTACTAAAGGAGACTTTGAGATTGTACCCTCCAACTCCACTTCTATTGCCAAGAGAAACAATGAAAAGCTGCGTTATAGAGGGATATGAAATCCAACCCAAAATCATAGTTTACGTCAATGCATGGGCCATTGCAAGAGATGCTGAGTATTGGGAAAATCCCACGGAATTCTGGCCCGAAAGATTCTTAAATAGTTCTGTTGACATCAAAGGTCAGGATTTCGAGTTTATCCCATTTGGATCCGGTAGGAGAAACTGCCCCGGGATGTCTCTAGGACTTGCAACGGTGGAGCTTGCACTTGCCAATCTTCTCTACTCTTTCGACTGGGAATTGGCTCGTGGGATGAAGGCCGAAGATATTGACACAGACGTTTTACCAGGAATTACAATGCATAAGAAAAATGCACTTTGTCTTGTGCCTAGAAACTACTTGTGCACATAGTGCTCGGTCAGGAAAGATTTCAGCTTTCAACTATGTAAAATATAGTGAATTGGTGTGTACCCTTTGAGGTTTGTTGATTGTTGGCATTGTTTCATTGTGAAATAATGTTTCTTAGCATTTGTACTCTTCTCCTTGTATGCTAGACTGATTAAATTCAAAATAAGTACTTAATCTACAGTTTCCCTTGTCAGAGAAGATCAATACATGTTTCCTTTTTTTTTTTTGGTCATGTTTTAATTAGGATTGTTCTTGTTAAGCCGATATTCATATTCTGCTATCAAACCATAGAGAGAATTCCTTGTGAACATAACTCCTACAGATATTTGTTCTGTATTGAAAGAGAACTCTTAGGGTCCATTTGATTGTAAAGATGGAATTGAATTGAATTGAAAACGAATTTCGGGGATTTGAATTACCTAGAAATTGTTTTACTGAGAATTGTAAATTATTGTATTTGATTAGTATAATTTTTCATGTGAAAAATGTTGAAATAAAAGTATTTTTTGGTATTCTTTTGGCTCTCTTTGATATGAAAATTGTCAATTAAAGGGATAGATTTCACTGATATTGGGGATGAAACTTATTTTCATTGCGCAAAAAAAAAAAAAATCCATCTTTTGATATTCATTTGACTTTATTTTACATGAAAATTGTCAATTTAAGGAAAATATTTTTTTACAATAATTTTTAGAATTTGTTAACTTTGCCAACAAAAAAATATATATATATATGCTACAATAACCGGGAAAACCAATTACCACCATATAAACCAAGAAAATTTCAAATTTCAAGAAAAGAAAGAACTTGAGTTCGATGGAAAAATATACCCATCAAACACCTTAAAAGTTGGAAAATGTTGTTGAAATTCCATTTTCCATGAAAAATTTTGGTGTATCAAACACACCCTTAATTCATTCAATTTGCCTCGGATTATCTACAATATCAATTTTGTGCAATCACCCGACTCGGAGATAAACCTATAAAACAGGTTAACCGTTGGACAAAGATAAAGTTACTGCTAAACGATCCAAATCCATTAATATCGTACATTACTGGTAAAAGCAACTGGAAGTAGAGCTATCATGGATCACTTGTAGTTAATATCATTCTCGCTGCCATGATAGAAAGGGCAGACCAGATGGTTAAACGTTAAATGTGTCCCAAGTCTAATAATACCCCCAATTATTCTCACTGCCACAGCGAAAATCTTGTATTGCGATCCAGCAGCGAAATTTCATACTTCAACCAATTCATCATTGAAAAATTTCAACCAAATCATGAAGAACCTGCAACCCGTGCTCCGATACCACTTGTTAATCTCAAAGGTGATGCAAGATTGAGATTAATGACAATTATGAAATATCTAAGATCGCACCACGAAAACAAGATTAAAGTAAAGTAGAAAAAAGAGAAACTAAACAGAGAAACGATGAATTTTATTAAACCTGACAATATGAAGAGAATTACAACGACACAGCGATTTGACTTAAACTAAATTGAAAGAGGAGTCACATATTTATAGTACACGAGTTAAACCCTAAAACTAGGCTAAAATATGGAAATTAAGAAAACCACATAAAAGAAAGAAATCTGGCGCTGAAATATTATTTCTTTAATTTTGGATGCAATTGATTCCTTTCCTTTCTCACTCGGCTCTAATGATTCTTTTCTAGACCAAGACAACACGCAATCTTCCAATCTTTGACCAAATTTTGAGGCACCTAATTAACATGTATATCTCGAAGCTTATAAGCACTAAAAATTACTCTCATGCGTGCACGAAGTTATTTCCTTTTGATGTTTTAGAGTAAGCATTTAAAAGGCCAACACTTTTGGTTCGGTGTGAACTTAGCATAAGCCGATATGTTTAGAAATGCTAATAATGCAGAGCTGACTCTTCACGACTTCATATCTAGAATCTTTTTAAATCATTTTTTTTAATTTTTTTTATTTTAAATCATTTTTATATTACTTCTTGCCAATATTCTAGAATGTTATGATCGACCTATTGTTAAAGGAAAAAAATGTGTCTTTTTCAAAAAATTGCAGTTATTCATTTAAAAATCAAATTTTGGAATTCGATTAAACGAAATGATACAAAACGCATTTTATTATACATAGAATCTCCAATTTAATTCAGTTATTAATTTGGGTTGAATATTAAATAATTTCCTTTTTTAAAATTTTGAGGAAATTCGTCGGTGCATGTTACAGGACAAGGTTTTTGAAATTTGAATTAATTTCGATAAGTGAAAGGGTGTAAGCGATGTGAACCATGAATTTGTATTAAAGGACACTAGTTGAATACGGGTAGACTCAAACAATAGTTATTGCTACTTTAATAATGGTCGGTTTTGAGGGTGATCGGGCGATGCGACTGCATAGGATTCCACAATCAAAGAAGCACCACAAATTAATTGTGGAATATTAATTTGTGTAAAATTTGTGCTTCTATAGTATAATATTCTTATGAAATATTAATCTACAATATATTAAAAATGAGGATTGAGAAAAAAATTTTAATCACCAATTTTTATCCTTACACATTTAGCTCTGGGTCCAATATGTCCTCATTTATCTTATATTTTTAATTTTACATTTTTATGTTTTATGGTCAATAATACCCTTAAAATTAAATTTATTTCAACTAAATTCAATTATTATTAAAATTAATATTACTTATTTTTTGAAATTAAGTCAATTAATATCCACTAAACAATATTATTACTAATTGTCAGTATATGATTAATAAAAATTTATATAAAAATAAAATAAAAATTATAACTATACTACATATATAATTAACATGAAATGGGATAGACTATTAAGTCAATTAATATTATTATATAGAATTTATAAAAATAATAAAATTATATATACAATTAATTTTTTTTTAAAAACCTAATATTACATATTAAAAGAATACTGCATTCCTAAAAGATTCTATGGGAAATAAAACATAATCATTAAAAAAATTTCGTTAACTAACATTCACTTTATAAGTATTAGATGAAAAGTCAATTTCTAATAATCCATTAACCCTTTAATCACCATTAATTTACAATAACTAACAGTTTACATTTGATAAACTAACATATTTCAATAACTTGTGTGAATAGATTATGAACATTTGATTTTACATTTTACTTGTACATGTTTATATTTATGATGAACAACATCCTTAACATTCAATTTATTTCAATTGTTACTAATTATTGGTGCATAATTAATAAAAACATTATTATTTTCAATTGAAAGAAATTACAATAATACTATTTATTTATAATTAACTTGAAATGGCATATTTTATTGAAGTCATTTAATATTAATAAATAGATTCTATAAAAAATAAAACTAATTACACAATGAAATTTTTTCAAACCTAATAATACATATTAAAAATAGTATTGGATTTCCCAAAAAAATTATTGAAAATAATAAATTCAATTTATAATTACAATCTTTAAATCTTTTATCAATCAAATATATAATTATAGAACATTTCATAATCAATAATATATATTTTGCTATGAATTGATATTTTTCAATAAGAATTTTAGACTAAATGAAGGAAATAAATCAAAAAAACTATATGAGAAATTCCTTACTCTTCATGTCTCAATTATGAATTTGTCATCTATAATCCATCATTCACAGATCACATATTAAGTACATGTTTATAAATTATTTTCTTTCCTATCTTACTTTCTCTAAGTGATTGTTAATGTGTAACATGTCAGTAACTAATATCAATTTATTAATCAAAATTATATTATTTTTATGATGTTAGTAAATCCAAATGTGGCCTCTTTTAATCGAAACGATGGCCAATCTTTTTTACAGGACACAACAACCAATTATAGATTTTTTGATTATTTATAATTTTTGTTTATGATGAACTTTTCAATAGTGTAAATTATGTGAAGATTTATCGTACTAGATAGAAAATGCTCTATTTTCTAACCGAAATTTACATGCATCCGGTTATCCAATTCAATGCAATTTTTTTTTTTTGTTGCTCAAATTGAATTTTGTATATTTTGTCTTTGTAATATTCATTAATTAATGGTCATGATTTTCTCCTTATTGTTACAATTGTACAGTATGCAAATATTAGTTTTGAAGAAGTGAAAATTCTAATGCCACATGTTTACTTGCAAGGAATTTATGTACGAGTTGTTAGTCATACGCCGTTTGACCCCCATTATTGGGTATTATAATTTTTTGAATTGTACTTTTTGAAGAATGTGTGGTTGAAAAAAAAAAGAAAAAGTTTTTCCATTATGTGTAATATTATTTTATCGGAAAATGTGTAGTTAAAAAGAAGAGAAAGAAAAATATATTATAAATTTAATGGGGCTCAATAGTTTAAAAAGAGGTTTAGTGCTTATTGAAATTTGCATTTTTTTTTTCACTTAAACATTGGATAAGAGAAAAAAATTATCAAAATCTAAAATTAGATTCTCCCAAATTTCGGATGATCATATTCTCAGAATTTTTAACACTTACAAATTTGATTCAATGCACATTTTCATAATATATTTAATAATTTTTTAGTTATTAATCTTATTAATTATAGCCATTTTCGTAATTTACAATCACATAGTATTGTAACCATTAATTCATAAAAAAAAAATCTTTTTTCTTTTTTTAACTAAATCATGACTACTAATCATTAAGGCTCTTGAGTCCATAGCCTTCCAACTTTTATTTATGAATAATTGGTTTTGACACAAAATTATGGTTAAAAATTAATTATGTAAATCATTTAATTACATAATCAAATAGTTGTTTTATGTCCCATCCCACAATTTGTTGTTTAAATATTTTGATATTTTAAAATTTTGTAGGAATTTCATTTTATTTTTTTTGGGTCAATTTTAATGATTGAACATTAGTCATGTTATCATACTAAAAAGTGTATATTTTAAATTTTAATGTCATAATGTTAAAATAGTGTTATAGGATATGCTAAAAATTGTAAGTATTATTGATGCTTATTAAAGTTATATTATATATAAATATTATTAAAAATATTAACATTATTAAACACTGAAGATTTTAAATCTGACTTAATAACTTTGTTTAATTTATAATTTCTTTTGTTTGTATTATATTATGTGCAAGCATGTTTAGAAAATTAACTTCTAATTTTAAGTTCTTACCAATTATTTTTATATTTTTTTATTATCATCTACTTTCAAATCATTAAAAAAGAGGTA